GGGGGGGGGGAGGGCGGGTACATCAATTGACGCAAGCAAGCGCAATGGAACATTCGTGTCCTGCGGGTCAACTCCGAGAATATTTGCAGACGGCCTGATTTGCTAGTAGAAACAACTCCAACAGAAGGAACTAACACGGCGTCGACTTTCGGAAGACATAGGACCCTCGAGGGAGCCGAGCACTCCACAGGTATGAATCGGTGGCATGGTCAAGGGAAGCGTCGAGGAGCAGGCATAGACGGCAGCGCACCGTTGATCACATGACATGGCAGCGAAAAACGACTTTGCCAACGGGCCTCGATGATGTGGCACTCACGGGGTTTGGTTACCCCAAGTCCCCTTTTTTTGTGTTGCAGCGCGGAGAACAGCACAGGTTGAAATTCCAGCAAAGGAGACAAGGCAATACTCTTTCGATTTCACGTCAACATCGGGCGATGATGTGTAAGACTGATGGATATTCTTTGACCAGCGTGGTCGACACTAAACAAGACAACCACACCCACACCTCCTTCGATACCCAGCAAAATAGCGAGGGTGTCTTCTCGTTGGTCGTTGGGCATCTGGGTAGCGCAATCGATGCTCACCAAAAGGCAAGCACACACAACTTTGGTGGCCAGTACAGCATCGCAGTGGAAGCAACCGAAAGAAACGCAAACTTGACGCACCTCTTTGCGGGTGGTTCTAAAGTTGCACGGTTCCTGGTGCCCGTTGCACAGCCTCCCGTCCCCCCCTCCCCCCCTTCCCCCGCCCCTTCCACTTCGGCGGTTGTCCCCGTCCAGCCAGGTGAAGGTGGTGCACTGCTCATTCCTGTCCGACCGCGGGCAGGTGTAAAACTGCCTCCCTTGGTTCGGCCCCTGCTTGCAGGCGGGAAAAACCGTGACCGGGGGGGGGGGTGTTGTACTAATGCGTATGTGGGGCATGTGAGTCGCCATGAATGACCGATATTTTTCAAACATTAGCGTTGGCTCAGGGACTGTCCATACTTACGAGGAGAGGCCGTCCGAATCTGTCGATGTTGCGAAGACTAGGGAAGCGCGGACTCTGGCTGGTGTTTAAGGGAGAGGTCCCTGTGGATGGGGTTGAACAGAGGAGGGAAGAGGGGGCCTCGCGCCGTGTGGAGCGGTGTTTGTCAAGGCTCGCGTGCTAACTCGCTTGCCGATTTCCTAAATTTCTCGCGAGCCGTTCTTGACTGCATGCACGTGTTTGACTGTCCGAGAGGGAACACCAACGTTTTTCGATCGCGGTGGAAACTGCTCCTTGGGGTCCCATACAGCACCGGGACGTCGAGACCCTTTGCTTTTTTTTCCCGCGGGACGGTACCGTATTCCCGGGTAAAAACAAACCGGATTACACACGCGCGCGCCTACCCGTTGGTTCGTTCCGTTCCGGCCGGGACGGGACGCCCCCCCCCCCCCTTCCTTTCGCCGTGCGGGCAGAGAACCAAGGCCTGGAAATCACCAGAGCATCAACAACGCACACATAC